GCAATAAGATAGCAAAATAAAAAAAAAGGATTTTTTTTTTCTATATTTATAGTTTCATGAATTTTTCAAAATTTATTTATCAACTTATTTTAATAATTATAATTGAATATTCTCATAATTTATTCGAAACTGTTTCTTTTTTAACACAATTACATATAATATTTTAACAAAATTAATTAATTAAAATATACTTTTCTTTTAATAGGGCGGTATATTTTCCGCTCTGCCATACTTGGCAATGTGGATTCTGAGCTTCCCTATGAGCTGGTTCTCTGATTACGCGTTGAAGAAGAATGTGTCTAGGGCTGTAGTCAGAAAGATTTCCAACACAGTGGCCCATTGGGGTCCGGCTATAGCCCTGGCATGTATGAGCCTCGCACCCACTGATGATTATACTTGGGCCGTTGTCATCCTTGTCATAGCAGTAGGTCTAAATGCTGGATCTTTATGCGGCTTCCAAATCAATCATATTGATCTTAGTCCAAACTTCGCCGGGACCATGATGTCTGTTACCAATTGTTGTGCCAGCGTTATCTCCATTATCGCGCCGTTAATAAGTGGTGTGATTGTGTCCGACGAGGTAATCGTTCAGTTTCTTTTTCCCGCTTATAAAATATCTGTAAACAGCAATCTAGTTTATTTATTTCTAAGAATTCTCTCTTTAATTAATTGCGTTTCATCTAATTTATCTATGTCTATTTAAACGTACTTTTTCATCCTTAATGAACTTAATTACTTTAAGAATGATTCTATTGAGAGTTTTCTCGCTTTTCAGAGCAGCGCGTTTCAATGGAACATCGTGTTTTATGTCTCAGCAGCAATTTACTTCCTGGGTAATTTAGTATTTATAATATTTGGTAAGGGCGAGGTGCAATGGTGGAATGATTCAGAGGCACAACCGCCAACAAAAAAACAAAGAGGAGACGAAGAGAACGAAATGCGGACTTGAGATTTATTCAACTTAATACGTTTTTGAAATTTTGTAACTTGCCATAGGACTATAATGTGTGACTTAAAATCAGTTTGTAAGTCTGAAGTTAGGACTGGAGTTGATTTATAGTAAATTTAATTTTAAACTCTTCCCAAAACTCTTCTTAAAATTGAAATGATCAACTACAAAGTCATTATTTATTGTCGTCATCGACGAACAGCTGTACATATCATTACTCCATCATAAAGTGCAATATGTGTTTTCAATTCTGTGTTATCCACATAGATCCATTCTACGTCTATAGTTACTGTCCACTGCCCATTTTTTTTTACTTATCATTATAATAATTAATCCGATAATAAAATTTAGACTTGTAAAATAAATTTTTACTTACGTTCTTCATAAAAATGAATTTTTAGTCTTTATTTAAAATATTCTATAAGATCACCTCAGACACGCTAAAAAGTTGTAAAAAAGTCAAGTTCTGCAAAAA